GGGCCCGAGGGTGTCGGTCCGCGCCGGGGGGGGGCGGGAGCGGCGGGTCCGGCGGTGGGGAGGGTTTTAGGTGCTGGGCCGTGTCGGTCAGGCCGCTGCAGGAACGGGAGCAGCACACGCTGCCTTGTCCGGTCCGGTCCATGTATTGCTCTCCGGTCCCCTGCCTGCAGGAGAGAGGTTACCTTCCCCCGTTGGCCTCGCTACGGTTTTCACAGCGGCGTTGCCTGACTGTGTGGGAGGGTGCCTTCAACTTTATGTAATGTCATTAGAGTTTCTCCCGGCAAGCTGGCTGAATGTGTGAGAGCAGCAGCAGCCGCCGCCGATGGGCGTTTCGCTTCAGGAACGCTTTTTCCTGAATTCAGAGACAAGCGCAAAGAACCTTCAGAGCTGCGTGACCGCACCACGCCTTCCCTCTGCCCTTCGGCTGCCGAGTGTGCGTAGGCATGTGCACACGCCTGCCATCTTCCCATCCCCCAAATTTTTACGGGAATGCAGTTTGGCTGCTGATAGGAAGGGGGCGATGAAGCTTGTTGGGGTTTTTCCCCTCTCTACAAATAGGAAAATTTATGGGGTGAGTCGTGTCTGTGCAGAGAGGAAGACCTTGTGTACTGGTAGCCAGTAACATTACATAATGCTATTCTGTCAGGTCTCAGCTGCCTAAACATTTGGAAACCAAATCCAGGTAGAGATTCTTCTCTGCAAGACTCGCTGCATACAAGTGAAGCAGATCTCCCCCTGCCCTCACACTACCCCATCAAGGGGGTTCTGAACAGGACAGCCACCTGGCTAAAAATCCTTTAAGTGCTCTTTGAAATACCATAGGGCTGTGTGTAAGGTTAGGGAAACTGTAGTTGTAGCTGATTGTCTCTGCTTGGACAGCTTCATCTCAGAGGAATGGGGTAGTGTGAGTGATTTCTAAGCATTTGTAGAACCCACATCAGAAGATGGCTTAAACATTGTAAATGTGCAGAAATGACCACAATGTAGATGTTCAAATTACAGAAAATTGTGGATTGTGTTACTGCTTAATATTGTAGGAGCCTGAAGAGATCCTTCCATAGACTAGACTTTCTACAGGCAGCAGCAGCAGACAGAAATGCCTTTCACGTGCTGCTGTTGTTGCAAACTGTCCTCATTTGGAAGAACCAAAGCAGTGCCCCCAAAAGATTAATTCCTGATCCATTTAATCCTTGTTTGTTTCCACCAACATTGCAGAGGGAGGGAAGCAGATAGTAGTTTTATTTATGTTGTAGTAATGGAATATATGAGCAGGTGAAGTTTTTAAAAAGTGTTTTCTTGGATGTGTGTACCTACTGCAGATATCAGAAATTAGCACCACTGGCTGTTAGGCAAAAATGTATTAGCAATTTACTTATATTTACTGGAGTTCCATTGGTTCCCATTAGGAACCTTGGCTTTGTTTTGCTTTTTTTTTTTTTTATGCAATCACTTGTATTCAGAGTTCTGTGCTCCAAAAGGAAATGCTTGTGTTTTACCTAGCTTCCAGAAATTTACCATGTTGAAAATCCCTTATTATTTAACTGCACAGCATGTGTGAGTCATGTAGGACTAACCCTTGTTTAATTTTTAGAACACCTTGGAAAGTTGATATGCTTATTTAATAGATAGAAAGTGGGCTCAAGGTAGGGGAGTGGTTTGTTTAGTTTACCCAGACCTGGTTCTGGGTCTTCTGTACTGTGATACTGGGCACTTCTTTCCATCAACCCCAAGTCTCTTTCTCACTTGGGAAGTGCAGAGGAAGCCTGTTCTATCTCAAAGCTTTCAGTTTGCATTATGGGCAGCGCAGTTGAGGATAGAGGAAGTACACAGTTTGCAGGGCAATTGTAGCTTAGCTTTCCTATTAGCTGCGTCTGGTCTTAAGGCAGCTGATGCAGATACTCATGTCTTGCAGGTCACGCTGCAGACTGGGAATGTAGGAATGAGGCAGAGGTAGAGATTGGCAGGCTCACTTACAAAGGGCTGCAAGTTTGCCAGCCATGCCACGTGCTGTTGCAGACATTAAAGTTTTAAAGCTGGTATCTTTTGCAGAGTTAGCCAAAACAAAGTGAAGTTACAATGTAGGTGGGGTGACAGGGGTGGCTGTGAAAGTAAAGACAATACATTAATGTTTTATAATAGTGGGGGATCAGTAAGACACACCATTAAATGCAAAAAGTACTTAAATGCTTTTTTACGGGTTTGGGTGGGAGGGAATAGATGAATGTCTTGGCATGCTCTTAGCTTTACATCTTCATGGTGGAAGATAAATTGCAGTTCTGTTTGCAACTATTCCAACTACAGATAATTCTTGCCTTGGGAGATCTTGCTGCTCAGTCTGTTGCTACTGATGAGCTAGGAGTGTACAGTTCTCTCCTGTGGCATTGCCTGTTTGTAACCAGAACTGTAAAACTCGCACGGTTCATGTAGTAATTCATTACTTTCTTTGAAGTAGTATATCGACATCTTTCTACATCATATGCAAAATCTCTCCTGCCCCCAAACTCATGAAAGAATATAATATAGTGAATTATATGGTTTATGCTTTTCACCATGTCGTAATGTGAGAGAGAGCAGCTGGCAGGTGTGTGCTGCCAGCCTGAGAGAGAAGATGGGAAGGGAGTTGCAGGAAAAAGAAAATCCTGGAAACCTTTTGCATCTGGACAAGCAGAACATGCATATGAATGGCTGGGAGCTGGCTGGTGCTGCACTCTCATAGCAGTTGGTAGACAGATCAGGGATGAATACAAATTCTTGTGTTCTGTTTCTTATCCTAACTTTCAGTTTCATTTGGTGATGCATGTTTGCTGGAGTTCCATGCAAATTCTCCTTGTTTGTCTTTTAGCTGTAACCAGACTGACTGACACTAACTGCTGTTGTTTCTTCTCTGCAGATTTCTGCTGCAGTCTCTGGAA